TTTTTTCAGGGTTTTCAAATCAATTTATTTAAGATTTATGGAAGTCCGAACTGATGAAATACACATGACACATTGATTTGATTTATTATTTGTTGGATAGAATTTATCGAGTTAAGAAGAGTCATGAATATTGGATAAATATTTCCTTGCTATACTATTCATATATGTAAGTTTAATGAAACTTTATGGAAGTGAAGGTGATGACAACTCCTCCTAGGGCGACAACATCTATGGGAGCGACCAAATAATCCTCGAATAAGTAGATGCAACTAGTTGCTTTTTAGTTGATCCCATACATGGTGTCTTCGTAGCGGAGGATGTCATCACATCACATTTTTTTAGGACATTTCAGCACCGCTGAGACTCCTTGGTGGATCGAAACAGCGCTATATGATGTTGGAGCACAAGTTCATCAAAATTCATCGGAGTTGAAAAGATTAAGGATTACCTTTGAGTCTTCTGCTGAGATGGAAGTATCCAGCCGAAGTTGAACCAGCACTTTCGCCCATAACGGTAATTGTTTTAGGGTCCCCTCCAAATAGATGGATATTTTGAATGACCCACTCAAAAGCAAGAACTTGATCTTTTAGGCCCAAATTTCCAGGTATCACCTCATCAGCTGTTGTCAAAAATCCTAAAAATTTAACAAGTGATGAATTTTGTTTTACTTTTCGGTTTTGTCATTTTCTCATTTGCCCTTAGTAAAATCAATATGATAATATTCTTTTTCCTCAATTTCAGATTTTTCTGTGAGCAGAATCAAAGTATACTAAAATTTGATAAACTATAACATCGGTACATTAAATACTGGCTGAGTACAGAGGATCTGCATATGAGAATTTTTAGTAATCCATATCGAATGAAGCCGTAAAAAATCAATCAACTTGAAGCATATTCAAAAATTTTGCTTTCAGATACAAGACATTCAAAATAAGATGACCTATTAGACGTCTGGAGAACTGAAAATTTTCCAAATTTTGGTACCTTTCGTAGAGAGCTGTGATCTAGCATTTTGAAATGTTTTCATCTCCGCATTGTTGCCACATCTACATGTAATAGACATCATTTCGAAAATTTCAAAAGCAACACCCTATGTATTATATTATATACATTAGACTGCTATANAGCATTTGTAGCAGCAAAACCAAATTCGCATCATTCAGATAGATACGACTCCTCTAGTAGCCATGCTAATCGTTCGAATCTTCAGCAAAAGAAGAATGTTGAATGTTTTTATTGCCACAAGAAAGGTCACTATAAGTCCGAGTGCAGGTACAGGTCAGCTAATAAAAACAAAGATAACCGACAACTGAAAAATCATCAGTGGAAATTCAAACATCAAGCCTTGAGTGCCGAGTGGAAAAATCTCGAAATTGAAGGCTACGATAATGCTTGGTTGGCGGACAGTGCAGCATCAAAGCACATGACATTTCACAAAGAATGCTTCACAGAGCTCCATCCAATAAATCCTCGAGTATCAATTCAGCTCGGAGATAATTCTTTTGTATATGCAGAAAGAATTGGTTCAATAGAAGTGGAAGCTGTGTTAGGAAAGGAAAAGCTATCATGTACTTAACATAATACCCTTTATGTGCCAAATCTGAAGAAAAATCTATTTTCAGTGGGAGCTGTGACTGAGAAAAATTTGAAGGTTATTTTTAAAAATGATAAGATCGAAATTTATAACTCTACAAAGTTAGTGGCAGTTGGAAGAAAACAGTATAATCATTGCTTCAAAATGTTATTTGAAAACCCTAAAGAAAGCCAGGCCAATGTAGCAAGCATACCCAATTCAGTTATTTTATGGCATGAAAGATTAGGCCACATTAATTTCCAAACTTTGAAGGAAATGGCCGATGAAGGTCGAATCCCAGGACTGAAAATAGCTAGTACAGAAGGTTTGTTCTGCGAATCCTGCCAATTTGGGAAGCAATCTCGAAAACCATTCAAAGCCAGTATCAATGAACGAGCTATTAGACCCGGAGAATATATACATTCCGATGTAAGTGGAAAGATGCCTTGTACATCCATTGGTGGAGCTGATTACTTCGTTCTGCTCAAAGATGAGAACACCTCATATCGTTGGGTGTATTTCATAAAACACAAAAGTGATGTGTATTCTGAATTCCTCGAATTTGAGAGAATGCTCGAAAGACAAAGTGAGAGTAAAATGAAAATACTCCGGACAGATAATGGAGCAGATCATATTAACCAACAATTCAAAAATCATTTACAAAGGAGAGGAAAAATCCATGAAAGAAGCTCCGCATATAATCCTGAACAGAATGGTACAGTTGAAAGGGATATGAGAACAGTAGTCGAAAGTGCCAGAGCTATGCTTGCAAATACTGAATTATTATCAGACGAACTTTGGGCTGAAGCAGTCAACACATCAGTTTACACTCTGAACCGTCGAAAACAGGCAATGAAACACCCTACGAAAAATGATCAGGAAAAGCGTTGGATCTAAGTCATATGAAGGGTTGAGGCATATGCACACATTCCTAACAGATTCAGGAACAAACTCGAACCGAAATCAAAGAAAATGATATTTGTTGGATATGATGGTTACAGTTCTAATTATAGACTTCTTGATCCACAATCGAAGAAAATTTCAATTATGCGAAATGTTAACTTCAACGAAGATATAGTCGCAAAAAACGGCCCCAAATATAGATACCTAGAACTTCAAGGAAGAGACAGTACGAACCCTGCAGCAGAACGCAATGAAATGGAAACAGATTTTCATCAAGATCACGAGCAGGACGATTCAATCATCGATAATGAATCGACAGAAAATCCATTCTGTATTCAACTTCGAAATCGAGCCTCCATCAACATACCATTGAGATATCGTGAAAATTATGACATAGCAATGGCAGCTGTCATCGATGAACCAAAAACGTATTCAGAAGCAATGTCTAGTGCTTTCAAAACAGAATGGACAAAAGCTATGGAGGAAGAAATGGCCTCATTGGAACAAAACAACACCTGGTATCTTGAGAAACTGCCCACAGATCAAACAGCTATTGGTTGCAAGTGGGTTTATAGAGTCAAATATAAACCAGACGGCACTATTCTCAGATTCAAAGCAAGATCGACTACCACGAAACGTTTTCTCCTGTGATTAGATATGACTCAATACGAATTCTTCTTGTACTGGCGGCAGCTGAAAACATGGAAATTAAACAATTCGATGTCAAGACGACATTTTTAAATGGAGATCTTCAAGACAATATTTATATGTGTCAACCAGAAGGATTTGAAAGTAGTGATCCTTCCTTGGTCTGCAAGCTAATTAAAAGCCTGTATGGTCTGAAGCAGAGTCCACGTTGCTGGAATCAAAAATTTGTATAATTTATGACCAAATTCTCGTTTGCACAACTGTGTTTTTCGCGCAAAGTTTCAAGGAGAAGAGATATANAAAGAAATCTTACCAGTGGGTTGCTCAAGATTTGATTCCAGAAGAAGTTCAGTTTCCATGCCAACATAATATTATGAATAAAAATTCAGCCAGTGAATTATTTTTATGTTTTTGGAGTAATGAGATAATTGAAATGTTCGTTACATATTCAAATTTGTATGCTACTAGCAAGAACAAAGTTGGTAACATAACAAGAGAAGAAATAAAAATTTCTTCGAATGTTCTGGGAAAATTCTGCCGATTATCATAATGATTTAGTCTCGAATGCACTATCGAAAGATCGTTGCTGTGATAACGCAAATTTAGATCAGTTTGACACATACCCGAAAATTAGAAATCTGATTCAAAAAATGAATGCATCATTTCAAGAATACGCTCCTCTACGGGAGAATCACAGTGTTGATGAAGCCATGGTGCCTTATTTCGGGAATCATGGCTGCAAGCAATTCATTAGAGGGAAGCCAATTCGATATGGCTACAAATTATGGACAGGTACTACCAGCGAGGATTATGTTGTATGGATTGAGCCAAATCAGGGTGCTAAAAGTGAAATCAATCCAAAATATAGAGATCATGGTTTAGGACCATCAGTTATTCTTCAGTACGCCGACGTTATCTCTTCTTTACAAAAACAACCATACCACATATTTTGTGATAATTTCTTCACAAATTTTCCGTTAGGTGTAGAGCTGAAAAGAAGAAATATTCGTATAACAGGTAATATCAGGTATAATCACACTTAGAAATGCCCAAATATCAATTCAACTGAAATCAAAAAGAAGAAGACAGGTTATTTTGATTTAAGATCCAATGAAGATGGAATACTGATCGTCAAATGGCATGATAACAGTGTTGTTTCCTGCATGTCGAATGCAGTACCTGTCCATCCTACGTATACAGTGAATCGGTATTCTCTGAAGGAGAAGAAAAATATTCAGGTACAACAACCTTACAACATTTTCCTCTATAATCGAAATTTGGGGTGTTGTCCGATCAGATCGGATCGAGTAGCATTACGTGGAAAGATATGGTACATGCCTTTGATATTTCATATGTTGGATATTGCAGAACAAACTGTTTGGCTTCTCCACAGAATGCAAAGAGGTAAACTTGAACACTTGACGTTTCGTAGAAGGATTGTTCTATCAATTCTAGAGGGTAACCAAAGAAAGTTCGTCAAAAGATCAAAACCCTCACAACTTGAAAATGCAGATTCTCGATAAGACCGTATGGATCATCTGATCATACCTCAGGAAAAACAGACAAGATGTCGAAAGTGCCATAAGAAGGTTTCTACGAAATGTGAGAAATGTAATGTTGCACTAAATGCAGCTTGTTTCAAGTCATACCATGTCAGAGAATAATGGGTTTTCATCCATTAGAGATAGTTTTCTACATATACTGCATATTACTGTATTTTATCATGTTGAATATGAAATAAAGTATTTTAAATCAATTTCCACTTGTGTGCCTACCGTCCTTCTGAAAGGACACTGTTTTTTGAGGATATTGGTCATTCTGGATTTTTTTTTTTCATTTTTCCCAACAATGTTAACATACACTGAACTGACTTTGACATGAAAATACAACAAGATTCGATAAAAAAAAATTCAGGGATATCTGGGTTGAGCAAAATTCTGGAGGCATGAATTTTGGCAATATAACACATGTCATCGACGGAGGACACTTACACCGAGTCGTTTGGCATCGCGGTGAACCATTTTCATATATTTGCAGTAACTACATCACGTACGTTCGATCGAAATATAAATTCAATGTCATAATCGCATTCAACGGATATCCTGAAGATGTAGCAGAACCATAGTACCAAATAAGCGGAGCGATCCCCACGATCATGAAAAACAACTTCTGTAGACATACTTTTTGAAGAGACAATGATTCCAACTGTGCCACAAGATAAATTCCTGGGGAATGATGCAAACGAGAAGCTGAAAATTTCATGGTCCCACAAGCCACGGAAGATGAATATTCGCCAATCATCAAAAACCGCAGTGAGTGTTTCAGCATTCGATACCGCAATAGTGGTCGGCAATATAGATCTTCTGATTTTTTTCACAGCTCTATGTACGCAATCAAACGTGTATTTTCTCAAACCAGGAAAAGGAAAAATTTCTCACTGAATATATTCCACTAAAAGTATTGTTGTAGATCATGCCTGAAAGGAAGTAACGTCGGCCGCCTCTGGTAACCATAAACCAAACGTGACGTAGTTAAGAGCGCGGGAATGCC